TCAGGGCCTATGAGCCAAAGAAAAGGCCCCTGTCCCAGCAGAGTGACAGGCAGTAATTAGGCTGACCTGGGTGGGGGCTCCCGGAAACCACTGTTCTCCTTGGAGTAGCCACCACCGGTAGCTGGAGTGTTTATTTGATTTCTGACTTGCCAACCCTCTAATTTACCTGCTGAGACAGACAGATTCCAGCTGCCTGAACCCTGAAATACTGTCATTAAAAGCAGATGCTGGTCCAGCCTCAATTCACAGGCACAGCCCAGCTGAGGTGGAGCAATATGTGCCTGAGGAGGGGTCCCAGGAGAACAGGTCTGGCAGCAGTGGGCAGGGGGAGAGGCTGGGGCCTCACTGTGGGACAGCAGACCCTCCACCTGGACCAGGGAGTGAGTGCAGAAGATACCTTCCCCACATACAGAGGGTGGGCACTGACTGTCTGGAAGGTGGCAGGTTCCCCATCAGTATAGGGATCTAAGCTCTGGCCTAGGAGACCTAACTTATAAGTGGCTTCCTCCTCTGGACTGTATTTTTTCATCTGTAACATGAAGGTATTGGACTTTCTGATCTCCAAAGGGCCTTCTACCAGAGAAAGTATCTGCAAGCCCTTCTCACACTGAGCCCAGATGCAGCCTTAACTCTGAACTTGAGCTCAGGTGGCTGTCATGAATCAGAGTTGACACATAACATGGAACCTATCTGCTATTCTAGTACTGATCTAACAGTTCTCTCTTTGAGCATCAAGAATCATCTTTGGGCAATTATAAATTTAAAATTAGCCAATTATCTTGACAATTAATTTTTTACTCTACCTAGTATTCTGAGTGCCCAGTCAACAGCCTGGCATAATTAGGGGTGCACCAGGAATGTTCAAGTCCCCACAAGTTAAAGATATGGAGTATACCTTACCTATCAGTCAAGCTGTGGTCAGTAGGAATGACTAGGAGTTGCAATTGTTTTTCATGCAGGACGATGGCAAACATCACTGCCTGCCTACCCATGTCAGACTTCCAGCAAATTCTGCCATCCATCCAACTACTAAATGAAATCAAACAGAAAACTAGCCCTGAGCAGTGCAACACTTGTGGATAGACATAAAGGCCACGCACTTTATTCCATCAGTTACACGTTTGCTGAGGCAGGCGTGGTGGCTGCTGTGGGTGACCAGGCCACAGATACACAGCACAGATGCCACCATTTCCCTTTCCCAGGGCATGGCTTGTTTATCTGGTTGCACCAGACTAGAAAGATAAATGAGGGTGGTCAGGTCAGACCCACTGGCAGCGATGAGACAGGAAGGGAGAACACATGGGAAAAGAAGCTAAGAAGTAACGCACAGCAGTCTGAGCAACACTGGCCTGGAGACCACGTCATCATGTTAGTGTTCACTGTCTTCTGAGGTAGGGAAGTAAAACATTTTCAGGTTCTGAAAAAATCCTTAAGAAACAGGAAAACAGGCAGCATAGCAAGAGTACATATTTTTGGAGCCAAATGGATTTGAATTGTGTTTCTCCTTCCTCTGTAGAGCAGGATATTGGTTCTTTCCTTCCAAGCTATAAAGACCAGTTATGTACACAAACACTTCAGACAGGGTCTGGCAGCCTAACAGCTGGTGCATTGGTATTACTGCAAATAAATTTGCCAATTTTGAGCACAGCACTAAACCTCCTCCCAAAATGTATTCTGCGGGTGGTGGTGTATTTATCTCAGAGCAGTGCTTTTTAAAAAATCTACATACTGTAATCCTTTGGGGACAAGACTTGTATTCATTCTCACCTGATTTAAAGGCCTGAGGCAAGTGCTTGGTTATGGCCAGGGCTGTGAACCTTTATCTTGTGTTGCCAGAGACACAGGGATCCCACCAGCCTGCTGAGGGTGCCCAGTACCCACCAGGTGACTCTTGGCAATGTGAATGGAGGATTATCCATCCCAGCATTTACTACTTATGGGAAGGCTCTAATGCAAGCATGTGGCCCACTTTTTATGAAATGTGTTTTTCATTTATTACAAAAATAAAGCAATTTTGGAGGAAAATCTGGAAAATTAAAACATAATTGATATCAGCACAGTCCTATGGCACAGATGAACACACTATAAATATTTTGGTAATTATTTCTCAGCTTTTTTCTTAGGATATAAGTACAGAGTTTTACTATTACAAATATTTTACAAAATTGGATCATATTATACTATATAAATTGCTTTAAGCTATGCTTTTCTTGCTTTATTATATGGTGAAAATTTCCATTAATAAATATTTTTTGAAAACACAGCTCCCTAGTTTTGTGTCATGTGACATCTACGAGACTGTTTTCACCTCTACAAAGCAGTTTGCACAATCCCTTCCTAGGGATGTGGCGAATGCGCTGAGCTAGCAGCACTTGGAGGCGGATAAGCTGTTATGAAACTCCCACAGCCACAGAACGAATCCTGGCACAATCCTGGTCTCTTCCTTAGTGCAGCCATCAGAGGTCAGCACATGGATGGGGCCCAACAGCAAAGGAGTTAGTGAGGGAACACACTGGCAAAACAGCCCTGTGTTCAGTCTTAATGCTGGAGCAATGGAGCAATAGCACAGTGGGAAGGTGGTCCTGGAGGCCACCCTGGACTTGAGCCAGGCAGTCCCAGAAAAGGAGCTCTATCCTTTGGGCTGCAGCAAAGGCCCCACGGTGCCTCCGGGTCCACGTCCCATAGGCTAGAGCTCTCCCGAACAAGACAGCAACAGCTGGGAGTAGCTGAAGTAGATGGCCAGGTTCTGGGTCACCCTCCCACCTGGCAGGCAAGGGCCCTGTTTCCTTGTGTCTCCCCAAAGGGTCCAGACCAACCAGGTGGACTCTGACTGTCTCCCCCCAGGGCCTTGGGCCCTCGCTGTAGACTGAGGCTAGAGCTCAGTAAACCTCTCAAGACTCCATGACAACTAGGGGAGGCAGGCCAGGCTTCCAGTCCCAGCTCTGCCATGATGTCCTGGCTGACCTTGGTTCTTGTGAAAGCCCCGAGGCCACTGCTAGGTAAACCTGAGCCTCGGTTTAACTCTGTTCAGGGTTCTGCCAAAGACAAAGCAAAGTGACATTCACCTGTGGACACCCAGGTAGAGCACTGGAAGGGGCATGGGCACCTAGTGACTCTAAACCTGAGCTTTCTGACCAGCTCACTGGTCTCAGCCTCCCCAGGCTATCGGAGAAGTAGAGAGATCTGTAAGGTCATCATCACAGGAGTCAGTCCCCTCTTGGGAGGCTGGCTGTGCAAAGCTCTTTATTCACATCCTTTCTTGGTTCTCATGAAAGCCCTGAGGCCACTGCTATCACCCTGGCCTCACTAAAGCCTGCCCAACACTTGACTAACTAGTGATAGCCACAGCCAAGCCCAATGGATTCTGAATGGTCTAAGTAACCCAACCCACAGGGAGATGTTGTGGCTACAGGGCTCAGTCCCTGCTCAGGGTCTTTACTGGTGAGAGATTCTTTATGTCCACCTGGCTGACCAGTTCACTGACACAAGTCAGCCCCATTTGAGCTCCAAACAATGGTGCACACAGGAGGACCAGACTGTGAGTCCACAAAAGTGAGACCATCTGTCTTGTTCAATGGTTGGCCAACTTTTTCTGTAAGGGTTCAGGCAGTAAATATTTTAGGCCTTGGGACTGTATTAATTTTATATGGCTGGTTAATTTTATGTGTCAACTTGGCTAGCCCATGATATCCAGTTTTTGGTCAAACACCAGTCTAGGTGTTGCTGTGAAAGTATTCTTCAGATATGATTAATATTTGAATCAGTAGATGTGGACTGAAGCAGATTACCCTTCATAATGTGGGTGGGCCCCATCCAGTCAGGTGACGGCTTTAAGACTAAAAGACTGAAGTCACCCAAAGGAGAATTCTGCCTCCAGATTGTCTTTGGACTTGAACTGCAACACCAATTCTTCCCTAAGTCTCCAGTCTGCTGGCCTGCCCTGCAGATTTCAGACTTGCCAGCCCCACAATCAGAGAGCCAAATCTTTAAAATAAATTTCTCTGAACATAATAAACATTATATATATATGGTTTCTCTGGAGAACTCTAATATAAGAACCATTCAGTGCCTATTGCCAATTACTCAGCTGTGCCACTGTGGTGATAGATATGGCTGTGTTCCAATAAAACTTTATTCACAAAAATAGGCATCAGGTTGGATTAGGCCCAGAGTATGCCGGCCAGTCTCCTAACAAATAAGCATAGTACCTGGCATAGAGCAGGCACTTTGAGTTATAAAATATCATTTAAAAAATTCTATAGGATTAAAGTGAACAAATAAACAATGAATCCTTGAGACTGATAGGTACACCTGCTGGCTGTAACACTGGCCAGCGTGAGTTTAGGCAGAAAGGCAGCAGAAGACAGGAACTTCCCACTGTCTTTGATTCCTTCTGTCCTGACAATGGTCTGACAAGAGTATCTAGCCTGAATTTATAACACCTGGCATCTCAGGGAATCCACCCAAGGGAGCAAAGAAAAGCTGTGGGGAAGCCACTATGCCCTACCCTGTCAGCAGCCTCTCAGGGGGTGTGGATAAAGTGAAGGTTCCTGTGGCCAGGATTCTCACCTGGCCCTGGTCGGCTAGCTTACTACACACGTGTGGGCAATACGTCAGTAGTGACTCTATGAAAAGAGCTCCTCCCAGTGCTCTGCACAACGACACGGTGGCACGGCTGCAAGGCTGCAGGAGAGCAGAGGCTGGAGTGGTGGCAGCGCCAAGGACAGAGACTGAGACGGCTGCAGGGGCAGAGAGGCCCAGAGGTAGAGAATGGCTTGCTGCATGCAAACTCACTCTGAATGGATGGAACTCTAGTGACTGACCTGCCACCATGGGAATAAAATTGGGTATAATCCCTTTCACTCCAAGAACGTTCTACTGTCATTTCTTTGGTCATATTGAATCCACAGTGAACTTGTCTGGGCTGAAACCCATTGGAAGAACAGTGGGACAGTACAGGTATCATCTCTCACAACTCCTAGGAACTAGCTGGAGGCAGCAACACAAGAACTAGGGTTTATTTTACGAGAAGAAACATCCGGAGCCACACTGGTGGGCCCAGGAAAGGCCCTGGAAGCAAAGGCCTGGAAAAGGCTAAGCACAGCCTGTCCACACTGGGGCGGTGGGGCCTGTACCAGTTCCCAGGCCCAAGGCCACACTGGGAAAGAGCCAGAGGGATCCCAGGCCACTCCCACAGAGAAGCTGCTCCAAGGTGACCCTGAGAAGGGCTACGACACAAACTCCTGCTTGCTGCAAACAGGACACCCTCAGGTGCGGTTCCTGGGGCTGACAGCTCCTGGACACGTGGGGACAGTGCAGAAAAGGCCCCATCTCACATGTACTCCCCACAGTCGGCAATGATCACCTTCTGCTTTGGCTTCCCGTCCTTGCTGCCTTCGGCCTTTGTGGGTGGAACAGAAGAGGGGCAACCAGGGGAGGGAGGGTGGAGAGTAAAGAGCAGCTCAGGGCTACCCCCCAACCTGCCCACTCCCAACCAGAGCAGAAGCAGCTAGGCCCCTCCCTCCAGGCCACAGAGCCTCCCAAGCTCTCCCAAGAGGCTATACAGCAAAGGCCGGGCAGCCACCCACCTCAATCTGCCGCAAGACATCCAGGCCTTCCGTGACTTCCCCAAACACCACGTGCTTGCCATCCAGCCAATCCGTCTTGTCACATGTCAGGAAGAACTGGGAGCCATTGGTGTTTGGTCCAGAGTTGGCCATGGAGAGCAGGCCTGGGGAGAGGACGAGCACATCAGCTCCCACTACCCTGGTTCTGGCCCTCAAGAAGAGGACGTCTGTGGAGTAAATGCAGCCACGGAAATGCTGCTGGGAAGTGGAACAGGACAAGTGCTGAGAAATGGTTACTGGCAAGATGTAAGCTGTTGGCATCTTTGATAAGAGTGGTTTCAGTGAATAGGTGGGGAAGTCTGGTTAAGAGGGGGGTGAGGAGAACAGAAGACAGGGACGGAATCTACACAACTTTTTCAAGAAGTTTTGCTTAAAAAGAATGCCAGAGGTATGATGATAGCTGAGGGGGGATGTAAGTCAAAGGATAATATATTTTTTAAAAGATGATACTGCATGTTTTTATGCTGATGGGCTGACCCAGCAGAGAAGGGGAAATGATTAGACAAGGCAGTGGGAAGCATCAGCAGGAGCCAAGTCCCTAAGTGGGGCAAGAGGATGGCGAGAGAGGAGCTGGCAGGGAAGACAGCTTGTGCCCGTCCGTCCTTGGAGGGAGGCCTGAGTGGGCACGTGCGGAAAGATGCAGGGGGCAGCGGCCTGGAAGTCTCAGAGTGAAGGAAGGTACGGAATCATCATCTGACTGGGACGGAACATCCACTAGGGAGTCAGGTAAGTTGGTCGAGGGGCCCCCAAAGAAGTGTAGTCATAAATTTCAAGTGGAATGTTATGGTTCTCTTTTTTCTCTGTTGCTGGGGGACCAACCACTGTGACTTTTTACTGGGCAAGTCTGAGAGAGCGGAGAGGCAGTGAGGCCGAGGGAAGAGGAGAGGGCTCACAATGGCAGAGCGCAGAGGCCGGGCGCGGCCTTAGGGAGTGTGCGCAGGGAGGTGGGGGGCGGTACGTCAACGGAAGCAGCTTGCTCCTCTCCTGCCAGGGTGAAGGCTTCCACTCGGCCAGCCGGCTCTCCCGCAGACCCCAGGCCCTCAGCCAGACCCTCATTCCACCCCGCAGAGCCATTCTGCCCCTGCCCGGCCCCACGCATCACCCCACACCTGGTCCCGTGTGTTTGAGGATGAAGTTTTCATCATCAAACTTCTTCCCGTAGATGGACTTGCCCCCGGTGCCGTTGTGGTTGGTGAAGTCACCGCCCTGGCACATGAACTGAGGGATGATGCGGTGGAAGCTGCTTCCCTTGAAGCCAAAGCCCTTCTCATGGGTGCATAGGCAACGGAAATTCTCTGGAGTTGAGAAAGGAGAAGGTGCTGAGGTTAAAAACCAAATTAAACCAAACGTCTGTAACCAGACTCTGAAAAACCATTATATTTGTTTAATGTTTATATTTTCACTAAAAAATGACATGCACATTATAAACCTTTGTGTCACTGGCATATGAAGGACTACAGGGGATTCTGGCCAAGGAAGGACTGAACATATGCATTCTAGCTCAGCTCCACACTAGGTTGGTGGTAAAGAGATTTTTGTAAAAGAAAAACCAAACAGGATCTTAGAAAAAAAACACAGGGCAAATCTTTGTAACTCTGAATTTCACAATAGTTTCTTAAATATGATGCCAAAAACAGTCAACAAAAGAAAAAAATTAATTATGCTTCAGCAAAATTAAAACTTTTGTTCGGCAGGTTCTTCAAAAGTTAGACATAGAATTACCATATGACCCAGCATTTTCACTCTTAGATATATACCCCAAATAATCCAAAACAGGGATTTAAACACATACTTACACACGAACGTTCATTAGCAGCATTATTCATAATAGCCAGAAAGTGGAAACAGTGCTCAAGTGGCCATCAACAAATGTGGTGTATCCATACAATGGAACATTATTCAGCCATAAAAAACTCTGACACATGCTAAAACATGGGTGAACCATGAAAACATTAGGCTAAGTGAAATAAGCCAGACACAAAAGGACAACTAATGTATGATTCCATTTATATACAATATCCAGAATAAGCAAATCAACAGACAGAAAGTAGATTAAAGAATATTTAGGAGGGTTGCAGAAAGAGACAAGAGAGAAATCAGAGGGAATAAAAGCAAAGAAATAACTTAAGAAAATTTCCCCAAACCAAAGGATAAGACAGACTGTCCTGACTGATGGGTGTGGCCCAAAGAATAATGGCTTCCCCAGCGTGTCCAGGCCCTACTCCCTGGAACTTGAGGATACACTAGGGTAAAAGGGACTCTGTACATGTGATTAAGGTTATGGATCTCGAGATGTGGAGGGTAGCCTGGATTATCCAGGTGGGCCTAATACACTCCTGAGACTATAACCTGAGAACTTTTCCCAGCTGAGGCCAGAGTTAGAAGTGATGGAAAAAGAGGCAAGAGGGATTCAAATGTGAGAGGGGCTTGATCCACTGCTGCTGGCTTGAAGATGGAGGAAAAAAAGCAAGAGCCTCTAGAAGCTGGGAACAGTCCTCAGTCGAGTCAGCAAGGACATGGGTACCTCAGTCCCACAGACACAGGAAACTGAATTTGAGAACACAGAAAGAGACCCTACCACAATCTAGACGAGCATTAACAGCAATTAAGCACTTGGTTAGTCTAACTGAGCAACTGAATTTTACTTTATTAAACACGTGGCCAGTGGCTGCTACTGTATTGGACAACTCAGCTCTAGACAGAAACAAAAAAAGGTTTCATAAAAAGGACCAAGAATCAGAATGACATTGGACTTCTCCAGAATGCTACACCCTAACTTTCAATTAAGTGGGAAGGTAGATATTTTCAGACATCAGTCTCAAAAAACTTACCTCCCAAACTCTTCTGTGGAGAGTAAGTCCACAGAAGCTACAGAAGTATGTCCTTTACTGAAATAAGGGAAGAAATAAAAAAAGAAGACAACAGATGTTCCAACATAAGAGACAAAAAACAGGTGATTCTAGATAACAGCAGTGAGTGGGCCTGGAAAGCAACTGGTCCAGGCTGGAGGAAGTCAGAAGGCTCCAAGGAGAAACTTCAATTAACAGACTCTGGTGGGTTTGAACAGGATGAGAGATTTAAACGGGCAGGGCAATTTGGGAAAGACTCAGGAATAAGTGCTTAGAAGACTAAGCAAATGTGAGAACAAGACAACTGTGAGTTCCAAGGGAAACAAAATGCTGTGCATGAAAGGAAGTTACCACAGTGTGATGCTTACAGAGAAGAACCTTGGCCTAACCAATCACCAAACTCATGGTAATCATGTAAGGAAGAGGGAGGGGCAGGGAAGGTGACTTGAGAAGCTAACTCCTTACCTTTTGAAGTGGGGAGCCCACAGATAATGTTTAAAATGAAAAAACTAGGAAGTAGCAACATAAATCTGTTATCTACTAATACGGAGGTGAAAACCACGGAATTGGCTTAGAGCTGAAATCCGTTGCCTCTGAGGAGCAGCAAATGGCGCTGGCAGCGGGGCAGGGCAGGGCAGGGCGGGGCAGGGAAGCACTGGGGGAATGGCTCTTTCTCAAAATAAGCTTTGCAAAATGGACTTTTTAAACCATATGTCTATGTAATAAAATTTAGATTTAAAAAATAATTAGAATATCTAACAAATTAGAAAGATGACTCAAGAGACTGTTAGCTAACAGTAGTTACTTCTGGAGAGGACTGGATGTGGAGAGGGAAAAAGACCTAGGTTTATTGCCTTCAATATTGTTGGAATATATGCGCATGGTATTCTTGATTATTCTGTTTTTCTTAACCAAGAACACATTTACTTGTATTTTTTTTTGATCCCCTTATTAAAAGATAAGAAACCAGCACTTACAAAGCTTTAAAAAATGCCTATTCTGGCTCATCTGTTACTGGATGAGCCAGGATCTGAGATGCCACAAATCAACTCAGGTTGGAAACAAGGTCAGGGGCCCAAGAACTGAGGCAGTGAGGGCCTTGAGAAGGCTCACTGCCCGGCCTCCAGTGCGTCCTGCTCACCTGCTGTCATGGGAACGACATCGGAACGAAGGAGTATGTGGATGCGGCCGGCAGGCTTGTTCCCAATCCTGACGTCCATGTACACCTGGGGATTTGACCGGGCCTTCTTTGCAGTGGGTTCTCCCTGGCACAGGAGAAATTGCTAGGTTAGAGAGGATCCCCGACTCTCCGAGTAGGAAAGTGCTTGGAATGCACATCCAGAACCCAGGGCAGTGAGCGGGCTGCAGCAAGATGCCGACAGGGGGGGCCTGGTGGGGCTGCAGAAGGCAGAGGCCATGGACACAGCACCCAGTTGGACATCTATGGACAGGGACCTCAGCACCATCGAACCCGATCCCCATCCCACAGGTGCATTATCTCATCCCACAGGCACTCAGCCAGCCAGCTGGCATCACCCTGCCCTGCAGTCACAGAACATCACTCTCCTGGCCCACAATACACAAGTTTCAACACTGTCAAACCCACCATACTCCACTTAAAAGAACCATTTAGGTAGCACCACCTTGTCCCTCTCTGCTGAGCCCGGCATGTCTGTAGACTGGCTGCAGTGGAGGCAAGGGGCAGCCTCCTGGCTTGGACTCAAGTGCTTGGAATACAATGAAGGAAGCTGGGCCTTGACTTATATTCCAAGTAGACAAGGCTAAGCAAAGGATAAGGAGACATTTAATACAGTCACCACATTCATTTCAGAGAAGAAAGTCAAAAGTTTGTAACTTGTTTGTGGTTCAGTTTAGCAAACACATGCTGTGGTATCATGCTAGGCACCGAGGGTCCTATTATTTGCTACTAACAATAGCAGTAGCAGTTGCCATGTGCAGGGTACTAGTCTGAACATTTGTGTAATTAACTCATTTAATCCTTACAACCACCCTTGAGATCAGTATACTATTATGCCCATTTTACAGATGAAAAAACCAAGGTACAATGAAGTTCAGTAATTTGCTCCAAGTCACAGAAGTGGTCAGTGTGAAGCTGGAATTCAAACTAAACCACCTGCCCCATCCCCAAGTCCATGCGCTTAATCACCTTCCCCCTCCTCACTTTTTTATTAATAAGATGCTTACAGAATTTACTGCCTAGAAAGGGAAAGGCGATAAGCATGTGAGTAGCCTGTACAAAACAGAGACAAGGAAATACAAAGACTGGATTTACCAAGGTGGGAGGTGTGGACTGCAGGTGGAGAGGTAGAATGAGACCAGGGAGGTGGGCAGGGACGAGAACTGGACAGCCCCTCCCAGACTTTATCCCATGGGACAGGTGATGGGGAGTCACGGAAAAGTTCTCAGCAGGGGAGTCAGGTGATCAGTCCTGGGCTTTAAAAGATCATTCTAGCTGTTTTATAAAGGATGGAGGAGACCAAGACTGCAGCCAGAAGACTAGTTGGGAAGCTGTTGCAATAGTCGGAAGGAGACAAGAGGTTAAATTGGGATGATGGCACAACAGGGGAGGAGGGACTTTAAGATTTGAGAGAACTTAGCAGGATATAACAACATGCTGGCTCTGTGATAAAGAGGGGTCTTGGTGACCTAGGGTCACTCCACTGACTGTAAATGCCATTTATATAGTCTGCTTTGATCCCAATTTCTGGTTTGGTCCATATGTGGATGGATGGTTGAACATTACCAAGACTGAGAAACAGGGAGAACAGGCGGAGAGAAGGGAGGGCATCCATTTTAGGCAACTTTACACTGCCCACGAGACTTGCTACAGAAACGTCTTAAGCTCAACGCACTAGAAAGTCAACAGTGCAGGAGAGGCTGTGAAAAATCAGCGAGGGCTACTGTTGCAGCCAGGAGAGAGATGGAGAGAGGGAGAGATGCCACGAGTCCAGACGAGCTGAGCCCAGTCAAGGAAATCCAGAGGGACGACATTCACAAGGAGGGGAGGGGAAGCCGTAGCAGCAATGGTCAGAGAGGTGAGCTGCACCTCAGGAGGTGTCTCTGAGGAAGGGAGAACCTCGGCCCTGTGTGCAGACTCTAGGGAAGGTACCACCGCCCTGTCCCGCCTTCCCAGTGTCAGGAGGGCCAGGAAGACAGCCAGCCCTGTGCCAAATGCTTCAGTGAAGGAGTGAGGGGAGCAGCCACCACCTCCCTCACTTTGGGCCTCCTCATCATGGGCAATCAAAAAATGGCACAAGGATGAGAGACCTAAAGCTTCTTTTTTTAATGCACTTCACCAAAATACTAAGAGTTCATTTTTCATTCTCTCTGCTTTTGTACATACATTTGCAAATTTCCACAAAAACTGAAAAAAAAAAACAAAAAACCAGTCTCCTATGGAAAGCACCAGCCTCTCCTCTAGAAGCACAGGTTTCAACCTCACCTCCTGGGCTTCCACCTTGGGAGGCTCTGACCCTTCCTCTTCTTTATTCTCTTCAAGGGTCTTCCCGGAAAACTTCTTCAGCCAGTCATCATCTGACCAAACTGAAAGGAAGGGATCAAACACAGGGAACGAAGTCTGGTCATCAGCCAGCTGCCACTGAGCTTCTCCGGTCAGCAAAGTGGACCACAGCTCCAGGGCCCTCTCAGCCAGAAAACCCCGCTTTGGGGACTCCCAAGGGTAAGGAAAGTTCCCACTGGGAATGTCAGCCCTGCAGTCGACCTCTTAGCAGGGGTCCGTAAGAAAGCTATGCCAAAGGGAGAGATGTAGCCCTGTCAGTTCTAGTCCCTAATGGAATATATCAGGCACCCACTGCTGAGAAAACTGGGAAAGACAAGAGAACAGGCAGGGTTTCCCTCATAATGGAAACAATTACCCAGAGAAACGCAAAATTTATTCCCCACAAATGTGGTGCATTCCCTTTATCAACATGGACCATCTCTACTCCCAACCACCAGGAGTGGCAATCGGCAGCTACTTCCAAGTAAACAGGAATGAAAACATGACCAAGGTTACACTGGAGGGTGTGTGGGGAATCTGTGGCTGCCCCCGTTCACCTGGTCTGGAAGAGCCTTCCTTAATCCTCATGGGTTTGGCCAAATTCACACGAATTGTCCGTCCAAAGAGCTCAGATTCGTTCTGAAAGGATTGAAAACCCAGCTGCTAAAATTGTTAGGTTGAGTCATACAGCTTTCCATTTGCTTCTGGTACATCTGAGACATGCTCGTGATTTGTTCTCCCTTACCCCTGTGCCGTCACAAAGCGGCCGGTGGACTGCAGGGAATCTCCCTGGAGCCGTTACACACTTCCTTTCTTTCAATACCAGCAAAGACCTGGGCTACCAAAAGTAACTCTGGGTTCAGAGGGCTCTGAAACTACAAGGAGACGTAGTTTCCAATTACCTGAGTTCACCTTCAAAAGTCAAGATCAGCTTTGAAATGGTGAGAAATGATCTCTGAGAGCTGAGGGATGTTTGATGAATGGGTAACAGAGAATAGGAATAAAGGAGAACCTTATTATCCAGAGAAAATCAGTACCAGGAAAGGTCGCTTAATGTGAATCTACTTAGAGCAGTGAAGAAAATTTCATCATAGAAAGTGAAGGGGAAAAAAAGATTTGATGGGGACATTATTGTGTTAAAACTAAGATAAGGAAAATAAACCTCTTATAGTTAAAATAATTTAGGTTTAATGATGCACTAATTAGTAGAACAAAGATGTAACAGGTGCTGACTAACTTGTAGTATTTTTTCCAACAAGATTCTATCAACAGTCTGACAAGACATCTTTGCACTTCATATGTAATAAGAAAATCACAAGGATCTCACAGAGGGTACAAATATTCAAGAGCTTCATCATTTTCCCCAAGGACCTCTCCAAGATATTCAAATCATTTTTGTCACACCCTGTCATTATCCTGATGGAACTTCTCTTCTCAGTTGTTAATTGGTCTCAGCTTCATGAAATCCTACCTCTTTTGCAAAATATGCAATTTCACTGTGCAATCAATCTACAAAGTGTTTTCAATTTATTACCCTAGATGTGGGGCAGCCAGTGAGAGATTGGCCAATAAGGATGATTAGGGTTTGTATGATTACTAAGTGGGAAGGATGTTTGAGTAAGGACTAATCTTATAAGTAATCAATTCACAGTGAATATTTTCACACTATGACAGTTTTTACTTCCCTGTACAACCTTGTAATGCTGGAGGTTCAGCAAACCAATATATGAACAAGGACCCTCTCTGCACCACTAAAAAGCAACTGCAGCAAGAATGATGATTCCCAACCATACCATGTTGTCGATAGCTGCTGCAGCATCCTGCAGAGAAAAGACAAGGTGTAAGTTTAGCTTCCTGTGGTGTCTAAACACATTCTCAGTCACACACACATGCACGCACGTGCGCGCTCAAGAAAAAGTTACCACCATAATTTCTGCCTAGGTTGGAATGTATGTGTCTAACAAAGCGCACTTCCCAGCTGACTTTAGGGCTGTTGACAGAACAATCTGCCATCCACTGGAGGCATAAGACATAATCACCAGCACTGCCAGGCAAGAATGCTCCATGAGCAGAGCTGCAGGAGCTCAGGAGAGCAAGAGGGGCAGCACCTGGCAGGTCTGCGACATTAACCATAGTTTACTGTTTGATTAAGTGAGGGAAGCTTTCTTTCAAACAGCACTTATTGACTCTGGAAGCATCAGTGTGAAGCCCCGAAACCTAACCACATGGAGAACAGCTCCCTTTGTAATCAGGACCACCACCAACACAAGCCAAAGACCAAACAGGTAACACAGGATATTCTCACCTCTGCCAACTCAAATTCAACAAAAGCAAATCCTCGATGCTTTTCTGAAAAAGGGGAAAAAGAAACAAGTAATTACCACATGGGGCAATGGAAAGAAGTAGATGGCCCCAAGGAAAGTGAAGTCAGTTACACAGCATACCCAGGCCCTAGAAATTCTACCCAGTCACTACTTAAGAAGAAGGAATCTCATTTGTTGATTCTTCCTAATTTAAACAACATTTCAAGCAATATCAAACTTTGTCTTTTAGTGAACATAGCTAAGTAATGAACTATACTTTTAACCTTTTAAAATAAGCATTCAATTCTTCTACTAACGCCAATTAAAAACCTTAACCTTTGCCTGCAAGGCAACTAGAAAAATGAAGACACTTAACCTATCAGTTATTCATTCCAAATACACAGTTTGTGCATCAACTGTGCATAAAGCATGGATCCTAACATCTGGATAAGGATGTTCAGTCTTTATCCTCAGGAAAATGCTGACCTGACTAGAAAAGCCAAACACAACAGTGTTAGTTTAATTAACCAACTAACCTTAGAGAACCAATTATTACCTTACAGAATTGTTTTTTAAAGATAAAGATCCCAGGCCCAGAGAGTTTAAAAATCTTTCTAACATAAAAAAAAACTGGGCCTAAAACTCCAATCTTAAAAAAATGGCCAAAAGTAAAATAGAAAACCAAACTGTAACCACGATACCAATTGGAGGAAAACGTATCCAGGTTTGCAGAGGCCACAGGCCCACCACTGGGGCTATGCTTTCCTGCATGCTGCCCTGTTTAATAGCACAGAGGCCAAAAAGGGAACAGGTACAGTGGGGTATCCAGCAGGTAGTCTGAAACAATAGTAAGATCTCCATGTACTCCAAACCTACCTTCCTACTGGGCTCTTGAAGATTTTGTGTTATCTAAAATTCAGCAGATGAGACTCTCTGCAGCATAAGCCTCCAAACATTCCTTCTGCATCAAGATCACTGTCATGCTGCCCTACTGAGGCGCCCTCCTGAACTGCCCTACATACCACCCATATTTAGAATGCACTGTGGTATGACTTAAAAATTTTTTAAAGTTCTTTTCCTAGTAGGAGAATTCTGAATATAAGACATACTGAAATAACTAACCTGTTTCATAATCCAGAGGAATCTGAATATCTGTGATGTCTCCAAAAGGGATAAAAGCAGCATGAAGGACTTTGTCATCTACCTCCTCTGCCAGCCCACCTGGAAAGAAGCCAAGGACCTTCTGAGCCACTGTCCCCATGCTCTTGAGTCCCTACAGACCAGTTAGCACGCAATAACCAAGGAAAAGGGTCATTCCTTCCAGTCCTTTGCTATCCTCCTATGTACCCCTCTTATCTGTTTCCTCACCCATACTTATGAAAGTCCTCTCTTCACCTTTCCTACAGACCCTCACAGAGCGCCAGGATTTCTGCAACAGCTTAATTGACCTGTCTCTCCTCTACACAACCAACTAGAATTATGCTAGAAACATGCAGATTTTAACCCATCATTTACCTGTTTAAACTCCTTTAAAAGTTTTCCTCAGGATGAAGTACAAGCACAGCAGTGTATACAAGGTTCATCATAACCCCAGCCCTACCCACCTCTTAAGTCTCTTTCCCTTTGCTTCCCTGTTCACTGGTTTTCCGCAAAAATGACCCCCCTTCCCCCAAGGGTAAGGCTATTTCACACCTTTGGACTTTTGCTCTTCCTGTTCTCCTTCCGTAAACACATTTGCCTCTACTTTGGCTACTTGGCTAACTCAAGCATCCTGAAAGTTTGCTCTCACTCCTTCAGATGGAGGGATCATTCCCCCTGAACCCAGGGCCATGTCATCATTGTCCGTTCCCATCAACGCGCTCATCCAACTGTACTATTGAGGCAACTCTCTTTTACCTGGCTACTCTGGGAACACACCTTCCTTTGGAGCAGGGGCCAGCTTGGGGCCATCCCTGCAGCCAGTGTTTGTAAAATGAATGGGTGAGAGGATATAGAAGCCCATAGTATTCCCCTACAGATCCTCCAAACCTGGGAGGTGAAGGGGTCCTGTTAGAGCTGAGCGGGTTTGTCGGGGAGCCGGAAAGATCGTTATGTCTCGGACTAACAAGCTTAAGCAAAGCAAGACAGCCACAGATCGGGCCCAAACAGCGGCTCGCGGCCCTCGAGTCCGGAGACGCGTCCCGCCCCATGCTGGACCCCTCAGCCCGGTTGGCCTAGACCCCGCCTAGCCCCCGCGCCTGCTCACCCACGTACAGCACACGCTTGCTGGTGGCCATCTTGCTTCCGCGCTCTCCCGCCGGAAGCCGGCGCTCGGCCCGCCCCCGTCCCCACGGCCCCGCCCCTCAAGCCCCGCCCACTTCGCCGTGGACCACGTGGACCACGCGGACCACGCTGGGTCGCAGCAAGCGCGGGAGCCGGCGGGAGGCGCCCAGCGATGGAAGAAGCAGCGGGTCCAGGCGCCGGGTGTTCAGAGCTGCAGGAAACAATTCTCGGCCAGTTAGCCGGGTCTGCAAATAGTACACTAGGGGCCGGGGAGGTTAGGGTCACCCGTTGTCTCTGCTGAGTCTCCGGCTTGCAGATGCAGATCATAGGACTCTGCCCGCCAGTTTTTGGATAACCTGGGAGCTACGGATGTTTTTTACATTTTTAAATACTGGGAAAGAAATAAAAACAAGAATAATATTTCACAGATGAACCTATGTGAAATTCAGTTTCCAGTGTCCATAAGCACAGTTTTATTGGAGCACAGCCATGCACATCCCTTTGAGTTCTGTCTGTGATTACTTTCACATGGCCAGGGCGGGAGACTTGTGGCCCCTGAGGCCGAAAATACCACCTGGCTCTTGAGGAAAAAAAGGTTGTGACTCTTGGAATAAACCAACCAAGATACGAATCACAAATTGAAGCATGTGGTAGAAGATAATGGGACCATCTACTTTAGACAAGGCAGTGGGTTAAGACTTCCTTGGGTCACATTTAAGCTGAAACCTGAAGGAAGAGGAGCCAGAGAGAGGAGGAAGCAGGGCAAAGGAGTTCAGGGAGAGACCAGCTTCTGCACACTCGAGGAACTGGAAGGCCAGAGGCGGGGTGCAGGGAGGACATGAGATCAGGCAGGAAAGGTGGGCAGGGGCCACACCATGCTGGGCCCTGTAAGCCATGTGGGGTTTCTGAGGGCTTTGAGAAGCTACTGAAGATTGTAACTGGGAGTTCATGGTCACATTTATGTTCTACAATAGTGTTCTGACCACTATACCCAGAATGCATTGTACAGAACCCTGAGACCAAGAGGTTAATGCAACAGAGTAGGAAGAGTTGGGTGGTTTTCCCCTTCTGTCCCACTCTCCAGCTTGTTCCTAGAGTGACCTTTCTTCAGAATAAACCTAAACGGTCTAGTGCTCCCTTCTTAAATCACTGCTCTGTTAACAAGGCTCCTAGAGCCCTTGACAAGGGCCATGGCTATGTCAAGTCAACCCCAGCCTCCATACAAGCTCTGGTGCTTAACCTTGCGCACCTTCCAGTTGCCTCTGTTCATTTGGTTCTCTTCTTTCTCCATGTGGAGGCACTCACCAGTCCTTGTCAGAGGTCCTGGTTAGGTTTCACTCACCCAAGCTTCTGTACACAGAGGTTGTGGTCCCCAAGTTGACTGGAACACACCATATAACTGTGGGCAGGTGTATGTCTGTCTTCCCACTTTGACGCCAAGCCCTGTGCATCCCTTCCCAGAGCTAAGCAGTGACAGCACACACAGCTGACCTTACCAATGTCAGGCCAAACCAGGGAGATGCTTGTAGAAATGAGGCTGTGAAATCTGATTCTGAGATCTCCTTGTGCACCACTCACTATTCCAGACCAACAAGTCACTCTCAAGAAGAATCTGACCAGGTTGTGGTATAATAAAAAGTATATAGTCAATCTTTGTCTCTAGGACCTGGTACAGAAGTCCTGAGTGATAGGGGTGCCTTTTGTTATTCATAATGAACCCCTTTTGACCATACCTGAGTTTACACAAAGGTGGTGACTCATACTGTGGTCTTGTGTTATGGTTCTGCTGAGAAACAGAAACAATAGTGTATATATTTATATTTATATGTATATGTATATGTATATGTATATGTATATGTATATGTATATGTATATTTATATTTATATTTATATTTACATATACAGAGAGAGAGAGAGAGAGAGAGTTTTTTTTATGAGGAATTAGCTCATGTGCTTATGGAAGCTGAGGAGTCCCATGATCTGCAAGCTGGAGACCCAGCAGAGCCAATGGTGTGATTGAGTCTGAAGGTTTGGGAACCAGGGGAGCCAGTGGTGTAAATCCCAGTCCAGGGCAGGAAAAGATGAGGTGAGAAGCCCCGGAGTCTGGCAGAAAAGGGAACTAATTCTCCCTTCCTCTACCTTTTGTTCCATTCAGGCGCTCAGTGGATTGGATGAGGCCCACCCACTAGGAAAGGCAGTCCTACTTTAGTGAGTCCACAGATTCAAATGCTAATCTCATCTAGAAACACCCTCACAGACACACCTAGAGATAATGTTTAGCCAAGTGTCTGAGCATCCTGTGACCCAATCAAGTGGATATATAAAATTAACCATCACAGGCCCCTAGATAGCTTCAGGAGAGGGGCTGACTGCAAGAGGAACCAACCACTTGAGTAGAGGGTCGGAACTTTCAGCCCCACCCCCTGACCTCCAGGAAGGAGAGGAGAGTGGAAACTGAATCCAATCACCAATGACCAATAAGTTAATCAATCTGACTAGATAATGAAACTACACCTAAAAACCATACATGGGGGTTTGTTTGGGAGCTTGTGGGCTGGTGAACACATCAGTGTGCTGGGAGGGGGCGTGCCTGGAGAGGCATGGAAGCTCTGCAGCCCTGCCCCTCACCACCTTGCCCATACATTTCTTCCATTTGGCTGTTCCCAATATCCTTTATAATAAACTGTAATCATAAGTATACCTTTTTCCTGAGTTCTGTGAGTTGTTCCAGCAAATTATCAAACCCAAGGGGGGCAGTTTGGAACCCCAAGTTCGTAGTTGGCTCAGCAGAAGTGCAGGTAGCACGGGGACCCTATTTGTGGCTTGTGTCTGAAGTAGGGGCAGTCTTGTGGGACTGAGCCCTTAACCTGTGGGTCTGTGCTAACTCCAGGTACTTAGTGTCAAAATCAAACTGAATTGTTGGACACCCACTGGTGTTGGAGAATTGTAGAATTGGTTGGTGTCAAAAACCCACATGGTGTGGAAACTGTTGATTGCCCTTTCTAATTCACAGCGTATCTCTTCCTTTCTCTAACTTCAGATGACAGATTAGGCCAAGGTAAGTACCGCCCAAGTTACTCTGGGAAGTGGCAATTGCAGTAGGGAACATCCCCCATCCCCCACTGCCTTTCTAAGATGATGTTCACAGATCAAAACCATTGCAGAAAACAAAATTAGCCAAACATGCGGTTTTTCCTTGTCTAAGAGGTAGCAGCGGCCACAGTGCCCACCTTCTGGGCCACTTCTTTCTTGGTGTGATGAGCCTGCAGAACGGCCACTGCCTCATCCACCTGTGAGAAAGCTCCAGGTGCTCAGTGAGGTCGAGGACAGGCCCTCCGCCCCCTGGTGCCCAGGCCCAGCAGCTTCTCCAGGTGCTGACCGCTTTCCCAGATACCCGCACCACAGCAGCCCTCAGACCACAGGCGAGGTATGAGAAACGGTCACGGGGCGCACACCTTCTCTCTGCCACACCTGGGGGCCCGGGGCTGCTCCTGGTCCCCTGGGGCAGAGTGAGCTAAACCCACAGGGGGGCCGGAGAGCAGCTCACCTTAGAGCGGAGGGACTCGGGGGACTCCAGCATGTGCAGCAGCTCGGAATTGTCGATCTCCAGCAGCATGCCTGTGATCTTTCCAGCCAGGTTTGAATGCATGGTTTGGATGAGTGGGAACAAACATTCTCCTGTGGGAAAACACTGAATTAAAAACCAGGTCGAACCCCAGTAAAGAATGGTCAGTGGTGTCCAGGCCAGTACCAGGCTCTGGCTGGCTCTTCTGCTGGCATGTGGGTCACTCACCCAGCATCTGCTTCTGTTCCTGGGGGGTGCTGCAGCCAGCATGGAGGCGGTCAGGGGCTCTTGCCCCTGCACGTGTACAGCAGGCTGCGGTGCCTGGGGACCAGGAGAGGCAGCGGGTTAGCACCAAGGAGAAAGGACATTCGGGGGTTAAGGTTAGGACAGTCCAACCCTTCAACACCTGAACGCTACCATTCAGAATGCCAGGGGAGGGGAGGAGAGTCAACAGTTCCTGAGCAAATTCAGTCCCCTGAGACAAGGGTGGTGAGAATATAAAAAACTATATAGATCCTCACATGTATATACATACAATAATAAGATGCAATATGATTAGAAAGGGAAGGTGAAATGGGCCACACAGAACACAGCTGTTCTATGGGAGGCCTATTACTAGGCAGCTATCCCTTGGATATTTAGTCCTCACAAACTTTTTCAGGTAGATATCATCTCCCCACTTTATTCATGACACCCAGTGAGCTCAAGTAATTTGGTCACATTAGCAAAATAATTACTGAGCATTGAATTTATTTTGAGTATACAAAGCTACAGCAACTATCTTTAGTAGCACAGCTTTTTTCTAAAACCTACATTATCTGCTTTCGAAGGATTCCCAGAAGTGACTGGGCCAAGGGTATGCTTATCAAAGCAGTTATAATTATTACATTATATACCATATTACCTCTCTCATAAAATGTTCTGGAAACATTAGATGTTTCTGGATGTCGATGTCTAGATGCTTCTGTGAGATCAGTGATGATCTCGAATCTCGAAGCAGGCCCCTGAAGGCTGTACAAAGGATTCCTATCTTTTACACAGCATTAAGTTTTAGAAATCACATTTTTTTCAGAGAGTGTAATTAGGAGGTGAAATGAACAGGAGAGTGGGGAGTATTGGTTTCCATTCCACATTTCTGAAGGGAGCAATCAGACATCATGTTCACACTTAATATGATTTTGTATCTACTTCTTTTTTATCCCCTTCTCTGCTACTAGAGAAAGAGCATTTGAGAGCAGGGTCCATGTCACTTTGCTTCCTGCTGTAACCCCAGTCCACTGCAAGATTCCTTGGCAGTTAGTGAAGTTTTAATACCTGATCAATGAAGCAGAGAAGAGCTTCTTTCAAATAATGTTGAAATGGAAAATTCTATTCTTAGCACACTGGATTCCTGGGCCTCCACTTCAGAGGCTGAATCACAGGACATGGGCTGCTGACATTGGAGGTGCACGTATGTGGAGCCACAGCCCAAGGAGGAGGATGAGCGTGTGTGGTGGCTTAGGTGCTAAGTGCCACAGAGCAGCGGGAACAAGTCAGGTTAACACCCATCATGCCCAGGTTAACACCTTCCACAACCACAGGCTCCAGGAGTCTTCCTTTGATTCAGTGTCTGTACCATGGAGACTGAAGGACTTGAAGCTACAATGTTCTCTCTGCTATTCAGGGACACTTCACTGGCAGCAAGAGAGACAGATGTCCAGGTCTGCCAGAACCTAGAGCTAGTGGCCATTTTTCCTGCCTTACACTGTCTTCTCATAGCACTGTGGTTACCAATGCCCTAGAATCCGGTCCTAGATATGGCAAGTACCATATTCTCAGACAGCAGTTCTAAACTTGAGCCTGCATCAGAATCATCTGGAGGGCTTGTTACCACACAGATTGTTAAGCTCCACTCCCAGAGTTGCTAATTTAGTAGGTTCAGGCTGGAGCTAGAATGTTCATTTCTAACAAGTTCCCAGGTAACACTAAAGCTGCTGGCCTGCGAGGCACACTTTGAGAACCATTTTTTTCCAAGAAAAGCAGTGATACAGCAAAAGCAGGGCAGTAGAAGGAGTGCATTCTGGGTGCAAACAATAAAGGGGTGTGTCATCTGTAGAGAATTTTCAAACAATAATAAAACAGCTAGAAAGCTGAGGATATGGAAAAAAGGAAAGAAACCCATGTACACAGCCGGTGGGATTGCAAACTGGTATGGCCACCATGGAAAGCAGTATGGAGGTTTTAAAAAAAACAAAAAATAGAAATACCATATGACCCAGCAATTTCATTTCTGGGAATCTACCCAAAGAAAACAAAATCACTAATCTGAAAATTTACATGCACTCCTGTTTATTGCAGCATTGTTTGCAATAGCTAAAACAAGGAAACAACCTAAATATCCACTGATGGATGGATGGATGAAAAAGATGTACATATATACAATGGAATATTACTCAGCCATAAAAGAATGAAATCTTGCTATTTGTGACAGCATGGATGGACCTAAAGGGTATTATGTTAAGTGAAATAAGTCATGCAGTGAAAGACAAATACCATATGATTTCACTTAAATGTGGCATTTAAAAAACAAAACAAATGAAAAAAACTGAAACAGAGTCATAAACATAGAGAACAGATTCAGGAATGGGCGAAATAGATGAAGGGGCAAAAAATTAGTGAGAATGTTTGGTATGTTGATCAAGATACTGACTCCACGGGTATATATACACATCAGAATTCATCAAGCTATACACTAAGATTTGTGCATTTTATTGTATGTACCTCAATTTAAAAAAATAACTAGAGAGTCAGTTTTATTCTCATCATGCTCAGACAACTCTGAGCAATAGCAGTCACAAAATACTTCTGAAAAATATACTTTCGATGGACTAAGTTGAAACAATTACTCTTGACTTATGCTTCAAATAGCACGTTAACTTATCCTTAATAAATACTATATTCTATAAAAGTTAATTTGGGAATTAAACTGTAGAATTGGTCTCCAATATACTTGGTATCAGTTACAATCACTTACTTGGAGATCCAGCTCTCCAATGAATGGACATGGTTTGAACTCCTTCAAGCTCACTTTGGGTGCAGTTTGAGTCTATGTCCCATGTGTTGCTACAGATTCCTGCATTTAAACAGTAGAATAAAAATTTGCAAAGGTTATAGTTACATGTGATTTTTCTTCTCCAAGTTATCTTTTTTTCTGGAGTGAAGTTTTAGATGAGGTTAATAAGACAAAAATATTTGCAAACAGTGGGACTCAGCCTTGAACAATGTACAGTAAACTAGTAAGCTTTAAAATTGTCCCTTGGACTTGGCAATGGTGTCTTAGATAAAACACCAAAAGCACAAGCAACAAAAGCAAAAATAGTAAGTTAGACTTCATCAAAATTAAAAACTGTTGTGCATCAAAGGAAATTATCAAGAGAGTGAAATGATAACAAAAATAAGAGAAGGATCTAGGATCCAGAATGTATAAGGGACTCTTACAACTCAACAGAAAGACTGAAGAACCCTATTAATAAATGGGCAAAGAACTTGAATAGACATTTCTCCAAAGAAAATACACAAATGGTCAACAAGTGTATGGTAACATCAGTGTCATTAACATCACTTATATGTGGACTCTAAAAAAGCCAAACTCATAGAAAAAGAGACTAGAGGAGTGCAGGTGGGGGGAATGGGGAGATATTGATAAACAGATACAAACTTCCAGTTATAAGATGAATATATTCTGGGGATACAATGTACAACATGGTAATTATAGTTAATAATACTGTATTACATGCTTTAAAGTTGCTAGGAGAGATCTTAAATGTTCTAACCACAAAAAGAAATGTTATTGGGTGACATGATGGAAGTGTGAGCTAACATTATGGCAGTGATCATTTTGCAATATGCAAATATATCAAATCAACACATAGACCTTAAACTCACACAGTGTTATAAGTCAATGATATCTCAATAAAGCTGAAAAAACACAGAATAAAAGAGGTCAATGTAATCAGTGATTAGAGAAATGCAAATCAAAAACACAATGAGATGCCATTTCACACCCACTAGGATGGCTAGGGTAAAAAAAAAAAATTGAAAATAACAAATGCAGGCAAATATATGGAGAAATTAGAACCCTCATACATCATTAATGGGAATGTAAAATGGTGTAGCTACTGTGGAAAACAGTTTGGCAGTTCCTCAAAAAGTTAAACATAAAATTACTATATGACCCAGCAGTTCTCCTAGGTATAGAACCCAAAGAACTGAAAACAGGTGTTCAACATACACAGATGTTCATAGCAGCACTACGCACAATAGCCAAAGGTGGAAACAGTGCTCAAGTGTCTATCAACAAATAAATGGGTAAACAAAATATAGTGTATAATATATATAATGAAATGTTATATCATATCATGTGCATAACATAATCTATAATATAGGTAAAATGGAATATTTTTCAGCCATAAAAAGGAATGTAGCACTGATCTATATTACAGCATAGAGAAAACTTGAAAAATGGTAAATGAAATATGCCAGATACAAAAGACCTTGTATTGTATGATTCTGTTTATATATGATACCCAGAATAGACAAATAAATCTGTAGAGACAGAAAGCAGTTTAGTGGTTGTGGGACTGGGGACAGGGGAGAATGAGGAGTGATAACTGGATGGAAACAGGGTTTCTTTTTGGGTGAGGAAAATGTTCCAGAATGAGTTAGTAATCAGGGTTGTACAACACTGAATGTACTAAATGCCACTGAATTGTACACTTTCAAATAGTTAAAATGGCCAATTTTATGTTGCATATATTTTGTTACTATAAAAAATTGTCCATTGGACAGGATTTATGGTGATGGTAGAACAAAGAGCTCACAAACCCTTCCATCAAAAACACAAATATAAAACTGGACAAAATTGTCAAAAACAACCATTTCAGGGCTCTGGAAGTTGGGTAAAGGCACATCAATTGAGAAATGTTTATCTATGAAAAACTTCTGAACTTCAGGTGAGACCAGGGGATGTGTGGTGCCCTTGCCTGGGGCTGCTCTCATCTCTCCGTCCTTCCGCTCCAGCAGGAATGGCGCAATAGTGCCACCAGGGCACGGTTGACTGTGAGAATCAGCAGCTTTGCTGATGGAAAGGGCTGAGTGAGTTACACTGGAGGGCAAAAAGCAAATGTCAAGCGGTGCTGTAACACAGTGAGTAGGAACTGAGCTGGCAGAGCCCCTGTGTCTGCTAGCCTGATATTTCAGTCCCAGATGGAAGTCAAACCAGACATTTAACAGGGAGATCCTAGAAATGAGAGAGCTGTAGAGGGACTGGACGGACTCTTCACATATCCC